AACTATAATTATAGAAGTGAATTTCTTTTCTCGTCCATTAATCGGAAGATCATGGTAATGATCTTGAACTGAAATAGGAGACTTGAACTCAAAAGGTCATCAATTCTAACTATTTATGTGTTAATTTAGTTGTTGGAATGGGAAGTGAGATTTAGACATATATCATCTAGATTGCAATGACATAAGTTCCGAACGAACACCTGCACACGGAATAAGATCTGCACGATAGTGTGATGCTAATAATTAGAACACGCTCTAAATGCTTAAGTCATACAATGAGTTAAGTTAGGTAGCAAAGCATAGGATATTAAAATGTACATACCTTGTGTGGCAAGACCCTCTTCCTATTTATGGGAGAAGTCTCCTCTCTTTATTTTGGCACACTGAGTGAATCGTGGGGTTATCACACGTCGAACTGGCTCAAGTTGGCTCTTGATCACCTCTGTTCGGGTGGTCCAAGCCGACTACTTTGCTCGAATGGTTTAATTCACCTCGATCTTATGGGAATAAAATATCTACTAAAGACTTAGATGTCGAAAATGTACAATATATAACAACAAAAATTAATTGATGAAAAATTAAAAAATCGTTTACAAAACATGTACCAATAGGAATTTCTTTTCTAAAATGTTTATTCATTAATTTAAGAGTTTCCTTTAGTTTCTTAATTACTAGAAAGATTTGTTCACATTAATATTTTATGTTCCTACGTTCTCATCAAATTTAAGTACCAACTAATTTTTTTAAGTTGAAAGTTCAAGGACACAACAAAAGAATTTAATGGGGAATTAATCATCCAAATCTGTCTTTTTTGAGTTGTGACTTTATAAAAAAGAAAAGAAAAAAAAAATTCTCATTGGCGAGGCCGACTTGAGAATCACTTCAAGCTCACTATTTTGCATGGAGCGTAACTCTTTACACCAAACAAATCCTTTTCTTATGTTTCTTTCTCCAATATAACAGTTTCAGTTTGTTATTATTACTTACTTTCAACGAAACAGTACACACCCAAAAAGACAAATATATATATATATATAATAATTAATTAACCTTTTTAATCTTCTCTACGATTTTGTTTACTATTTCAGTCTAATTCCTCTTCATTTACGCTAACTCATTATCCTCTCTCAGTTCTCACACGTCAAAATCAAGCTATTGACTGCCCAAACTTTTCCATTTTTTTTAATTATTCCAATTTTAATTATTATGCCCATTGCCCCAAGCTTGTATGTTACATATCGTACCTACCTACGAAATAATTATTTCTTTCTATTTTCTTTACCCAAATTTATTATTGTTTAGACCCAAAATATCATTTTATTTGAATGGAAAAAAAAAATAGTCATTGTTGTTCTATCTTCAATTTGTATGTTTTTTCATTGGAGGAATGATTTCACAAATTTTTTTAAATATACTTGGTAGGCAAAAATTTCCACGAATTCGAGATTTTCTTGTGTTCTTACAAGGTGAGAATTAAACTTACCTTTCGAATAAGGTTGGAAATAAAGTTTCTCTTGATTTTTTTAGAGACGAAAAAATGGAGGATAGAATTTTGAAAATTTTGAAAAAAATTAGACTTTCGTTTTTATAACAATTTTGCTCTTAGTTTTTTATTTTTAAAATTATATTTGCTAGTCAATTTTTTTAATATATTTTTTACTTTGCTTAAGAATACATTTGAATGCTTAACTAAGCATAAAGAATATATACAAGTTTTTAAAACTTAGTTTAGATTTTTAAAAAGTTTTTAAAAGGTATATATAATAAATTAAACAAACATAAATGTGATGGTAGTATTTATAAGTTTATTTAAAAAACAAAATAATTTTTAAATTGGGTCTAAATTATTAGTATATATTTATTTTTAAAAAGAGCAACAAAAAATAGTGATTTTTTTTTTCCTTTTGGTTGAAACTCATGGATAAAAAAATATTCACATAATTTGAGAGTAAGATTTAGTTGTGTCATGCACGATTCTGTCAATTCGAACATACTTCAATAAGATAAAAATAATTCAGCGATAATTAACACATACTTCCAACATGAAGTTGTTAGTTCAATCTTCCACCCCACATGCTGTACTAAAAATAATAAGAATAATAGGATAAAATATCTATATATATTATTTTTAAGATTATTTTTAAGATGAATGGTCCCATCCCACCCTAATTAATTATTGAACTAAAGAAATTATTGTAATGATTCACATAATTAATAATTGTACTTAATTTTTCTAAATTTGTTTATTTAACTTATTCAATTCAATGCCGTCATTGATGATTAATGTTACTTAAAAATTTTCTTAAATACAAGAAATAATTTGATATAAGAAACAGTTCTAGTAAATTCAAAATTTATTTGGGAACACTTTTTTATCTCAAAGATGGAATGGGGAGTTTTTAATCTTGGAGAGGATTTGGAAAGCCATTGATTTTACGAGATTACTTTTTTTTAATACAACAAGTGGGAAATTCGAATTCATGACATCTGGATTAGAAACAAATGTCAATTATCATTAAACTAAGTTTATAGTGGTGATTTACCCCATTGAATGGATTATTGTAATTATGAAATGGAAAATCATCTAAAAATTAATTATGATTATAAATCGAATGATATTGTTATTCCCATTCTCTCTCTAAAATACTGAAGAAGCAAGTGTCGCATTCACATTCCACATATGGCAATTACAACACTATTTCTTTAATTTTTAATCTTAATAAAATAATAATATATCACTAACTTGAAATATAATTATAAAACACATATTTTCAACTAAGAAATTTTGATTTCGAATCTCTAACTCCACATATTGTACTAAATAATAATAATAATAATATATCAAAAAAATATTTAAAAAATGTCAAATTAAAGTATTATACATTCACTCTCCACTCCTATTTAACTTTACATACACATATACATATATATATATATATTTTTTTTTTTTTGAAAAATATACTTACGTGAATTTTGTTACTATTTTCCTTTTCTACTAGCTTGTTAAAATGAAATACTCACAAAACGACGACCGCTTAGGTGGATGTCAGAGTTCGATCGTCCGGAGCGGAGCAGGACAACGAGAGTCCTGTCTTTTGTTTTCTTTTTCTTTTTTCTTCCAAAAAAATAAATTCCTTTGGTTGAAAAAGAATACACGAATACGTCCTATTTTCTTTTTCTTTTTATTCAGCTCTCTCAAAAATCCATTATTCTAGATATTAGAAAATATATATATATTTTTTCAGGATTATATTTTTCCCTTTCCTCCCCCACTGTAATTTTGACTGGTTTTTACCAATTTTAATAAATWAAAAAAAGGAAAATTTCAAAGTCATATAGAGGGGAGAGATTTTACAACCTACTATAAATATTCTCTTTTGTTTTTTATTTATAATATAAATTATCATTTCAGTCCCTAAGCTTAATTTCATTGACTAAATGTTAATAGTTTCAAATTTTGATTAGATTCTTATTGTTTAGTTAAATTCTCCCTATATCTCTAAACGGTTATCAATATTTAAATTTTACTTGAATAATATAATTGAACATGGTAGATAAGAAACTATTTAACATTTCAAGATAAATTAATTTAATCGAACTATAAACACTTTTAAAATAAAACCATAAGTTAAACTAGTATAAAGGAGCCAATTTGAACAAAATCAACGAATAAGACGTCAAAAATCTTTCACTTAAGCAAAAATTATTGCGATTAAAAAAAGAAATATACTATTTCAAATACGGTCTTATTTTCAGTAAATAATTAGTTATTAAATATTTCACTTCAATTAATTACGAGAAGACATCGTCGTTGGTTGTAGAGAAGGCTCTTTTTAACATCCTTCAGTCCAAACCTTCCCTTTGAGGAGATTTTCTAGATGGGATCTCTCTATCCAAGAGATAGGAGAGAGAAACAAAAAAAATAAATTTATAAAAAATAAAGTAAAATGAAATAAATTCTTTTTTGAAGTAGTAACTTGTAGTAAATATTTCGCAATTTTTAATTAATTAAATACTCTAAAAATGCTTCGTTTCTTCATTCTTAGTCCATCAGATTCAGTACACTCTCTCTCTTTCTCTTTCTCTCTCATCGTGAGAACAAAAAAATTACAAAAATAAAAAATGGAAGTTTATCGATCCCGAAGTCGTGTCAATCACTCAACACGAAAAATGTCAAAACAACCAAACAGATCAGCCAATATCTTATCGAAATTTTACGTAACAACCGGAATTCGCCTTCGCCATCTCAATCGAACCTAAAATCAAAAGTCAAGAGATCCAAAAAATTAAAGCCAAAATCGAAACAACGCGACGATTGAAGATAAATAAAATTTCGTGAATATATTCGGAAATTGTTTTCTGTGTTGATATAATTATAGTTTGATCGGATTCGGATCTGAATTTTCTGAGATTTGAGGCAAGTTTTATCGGAAAATCTTACATACATTGAAAACGTGTGATTCGTTTTACATCTGCCTATGGAATAAGTCGTTGTAATCCGGAGAGAATTGTACATTACAACAAATTTCTCTCAGGATTGAAGTGAGAAGATGATCAGAAAGAATTAATTAAAAGTACTCGTTAAACGTAACAATGGCGATTTCGTGTGTAATCGATCATTTACACTCACAGAAACTTCTCTTCGCCGATTTAACTCTGTCTTCGTGCTCGAAACTCGAGGCTAAATACGGTTCGATCTCTTCTCTACTCACGATCTCGACGAATTCAAGCTCCATTAGTCTTCTTCTACAAGTCGGAGGTCTCTTCCGCTTCCGCGGCGCCGGCGGACATTGAAGCAGCGCCGGAATCTTGTTCTCCACGGAGGTCGGCGTGCGGCAGCATTGATCTTCGGCACCGTCATCGCTGCTGCTTCTCTCTTTCTGATCAACTACACCGCCGCCGTCCGCCATCGACGTCGACGGCCGCGGATTACTAATTTGAAGCTTGCTCGCCGGACGGCGCACAATTCCTAACAGAGTCCGCCGGAGATCAAGGTCCGTGGACATGTCCGAGAGCTATACGATTAAATATAGTTACAGACGAGAAGAAGAAGCTGCCAAAGAAAACGAGAGAGAGAGAGAGAGAGAGAGAAATTTGGTTGAAAAATGAATAATGTTTGTTTGTGTAGGCTTGGAGAGGGTATTTATGTGGGTAGAAAAATTGAGTTTATTATTATTTATTATTTTTTTTAAGAGAAAAAAAATTGAGTTTATAAGAAGGCGTGCATTAGAAGATAATTAAGGGAGCGAAAGAGGAGCCCTTTATTCCTCCGAGCTGAGGGGGAAAGGAATCTGATGATGGGGATAGAAGTGTAAACAAGATTAAGTACAGTGGCTTTACTGCAATATTTACAAACTTTCTATTCTCATGCATATCATTCAATTTAACTACTTGCAACCACTTTTTAGATGAGTAATTGAATCTTGCCTTTTGTCTCCCGCATTAATTCCTCTTAAATCGCCTATAACATTAAGATTACCGTTAAATTAATCCCATTTTTAGTTCAACCAGCAAGAGGTGGAAGATCGAACATTTAATCTTAGAAAAAGTAATATAAAGAGACATATGTCTTAATTAGTAGAGTTATGCTAAAGTTGGCAGCTATGTTTGAATTGCCAACCTAAATCAATCACTTAAACATTTTATACCTCTATATTTTAGATCTCATCTTCTTTCCATTTCTAGTGTAATATTAAAAAAAATTGAGTTACCTCATCGAAAATGGTAACATCTGTAACCACACATTTTTACAAGAAGCAATTTTATATCAATGTAGAAATATGGAGAGGATCAGGTGAGTTACACGTAAATTAATCTAAATCAAGTTCAAAATAGTAATAACTTTCTTAACAACATATAATTAATTATGTTATATATTAGTTCGCTAATTTTGTAGGTTTTAAAAAGTTCGAGATATAACTTGTCAATCTAAACAATAGCTCGATGTTAATGCATTAAAAGCCTTTTCAATAGGTCAAAAGTTCAAATTTTTGGCCCTACAACATTTTTTCTTTTCAATATCTGTTAATGTCCACATCAACTTACTCTACTACATTTTATTGTCAAAGAAATCTATATGATATTAAATTTTAGGTAGGTGATCATCATGTTTTAAACATATTTCCTTTACAATAAGCCAACTCGATCAATATAGTCTATCCTTACTACTACAATATTTTATTCTAAAAGAAAAAAACTAAAAAAAAAAAAGCCAGTGTAACTTGAGAAATCAAGAATATTGTCTTAGGTTGATTTAAGTCTTCTCATTTTATAAATATTTGTTATATTGCCAAAATATATAATATGTTGCATTATTTTGTGTACTAAATTCATATACAATCGTAGCATGAAAAATAAATATATTTCTATACGAGAAGGTTATTGAAGGCATTTTTATATCAAACAAGTTAGGCTTGTCGTGATGATTTGATGTATCATTGCAGTCTTGCTGTTTAACATTACTATATGTTTTTAATTATATTAAAAATAAATACTTTATCTATTCACCTAAAAGTACAATTTCTTCCTTTAATATTAATTTATATAAATAAGTGTAACTACTATTTATTAAAAGAATTTCCGATTTATATAAAAATATATTGTCTTAAATTCTGTTTCCGTTCTCAAATTTCCAAAATTTTAATTTAATCTTTTAACCTTTTATAAATTTAAAAAAAAAAAACTTATTCTCGACCATTAGTACTGTTAATTTTGTTTGGATAACTTAACAAAAATTTAAATTCATTTAAAAAATAATTTGTGATAATAATTAAATTAATTTTTAGGTAAAGTTTATAAATTAAAACCTAACATACTTTTATAAAGGATAATTGACATTTTGGCATAATTTACCTAAAATATTATTTTAAAGTAATTATTGCGATATATATATATATAACGACCCTAAATGCGATTTGAATTTTAAGATGTGATCTCACGAAATGTTACTTTATGTCTTAGCTAGATAAACTACGTTTAGGTGACCGTTAATCAATATCTCTATTAATTTTTAATTTATAAATTTTTAAAGATTACTATATTTGTAATTATTTTTTAAAAATAGCGTGTTTTACATTTTTTTTTTTTTTTTGAGGAAATAGCATGATTTACAATTAATCACACATTTCCTTCATACATTTTTTTAAGACAGTGGTAGAATTTAAACCAAACAATATTACAAATACATCAGAATGAAGACAAAAAATTTGCCGTGTAATGATTTGGTTTGGATTTACAACGGGTTGAGAGAGGGGAAAGTAAACGGTAAGACACGTGTCAAGATTCTAAGAGAGGTAAAAGTACTTGTTGGAGGTATCATGTTAAAGATTGGGGCAATCTGGTTAATTAATGGCGTTGCCCCGATCTCGGCGTCGTGGCCTCTCTTGCTTTTTGGACATAGACATGTGGACACTGCTGCAGAAGTTCGTTAGGCCAACCACTAGCCACTCTCTTCCCCCACGCTCTCAACGGCGCGTGTAGTCCATTCTCTCATTCTTCAATGGAATCTTTTTTATCACATCAAAGGTAGGGAGAGAGATCGAAGTTCCGACCTCAAAAGAAAGAGTAAAGTGTTTAACTATTGATATTGAGTTATATTTATGGTGAATAATGAAATTTCGTTTGTTTTACTATAATCGAAATAATTGCTASTAAGTACGGTTTTAGAAAAATCAACATCAATCCCTATCTAGTGACTATCTCGTTTTTCTTTTTTAAAATTAAACTTGTAAATACTACCCTTGGTCACTCATGTATTTTGATTTGCATACACTTTTTTTATTTAAATATTTTCAAATTCTTGTTTTTTATTTTTGAAATTTGGTTAAGGTTTTAAATGTATTTTCAAGAAAGGTAAACAAATAAACATATATAATTTTAAAAAACGAATGGGGCATTGGTAAATTTCAATTCTTGCCAAACTAAGTATATAAAGATCAAAGTAGATATATTATTTCAATTGTTTTTTTATATTGATATTTAATATCTAAATTTGTTTCAAGATAATTATTTAAAGTTTTATATGATTTAAATTCCCAATTATTCTATTTACTCTAAATTATTTGACAATCAATTAAGAAAAAACATAAACCACCGTTACAAAAATGGAATTCCATCAAAATTTCATTACAATTTAAATATAAACAAAAAAAAAACGAGACAAATACAATTGAAAAGAAAGATATTAAGAATGATACAATAATAAAACCCATCAAAATTTCATTGCAATTAAAATATAAATGAAAAAAGATATATGAGACAAACAGACGTAAAAAGAAAGATATTGAAAATGGTACAACTGTAATTTTTTTAATTTTGTGAGAGGAGACCATAGATTTCTAAAAAGGCTAATTTAGAAAGTATGATTTATAAAATTATTAAATAATCAATTTTAGCTCAAATTTTCGCACAATTACTTTGGGTACCCTGCAAAAGCAATCCCATATACGACCCCCTATTCCTCTGCCTAAATGTTTTCGTATGTCTCTCGTGACATACTCATATGATTGCACATGCAAAAGAAGGAAGCTAGCTGTTCAAACTTCAAACCAAGCATAATGTTGCTTAAACATGGCATGAATATATCTATCTGACGTGGCAAATGCCGAATCGTGATATTATTTTATTATTTGAATTTGTGTTCCTGAGATTGGATGCATGAGAAGCAAAAGAACAACATCGATCCAGACAAACTTTTGTATTAAAAGTCTCGTAGAATTATAATATTCTCTCGAATATTAATAATCATATGGTTTGAATTTCGATCATTTTGGTTGTACAATTTCGAGTTTTAAATTTATTAAAGAGGATGAGATTATCATTACTACTTTTTTTTTAATTACTTGCTTGCAAATCTCTAATCGTTGATGGAGGATTCTGTCGAACTATCGAAGGTTGGCCACGTGGCAATAAGCACGAGCAAGAGAGACCTGCGAAGAAGAACAATTATATTATGACACTCAAGTTAGAAGAGGTGCGAGCTATGATAAGCCGTATTCAGAGCAGAATTAATTACGTACCTGAGCGAAGAGGTGGAGTGTCCCTCTTACAAGTATTGGGGAGGGGGACAAGGTCGTTGGAACAGTTTTGGCCACTTGTTATGGTTATCGGATCTTCAGGTCGGTTGTCGGACCTGAGGTCAGAGTCCTCAAATCGGCTTTGTAAAACTTAGGCTAATTCCTCAAGTTATGGTCTCCAGCTCGGTTCTATGTGCAGATTGGTCTTCTCCATTGGCTGTGTTGACTGTTTCATGTGATATCGAGTTGAATTGTTCGGTCCACGTGTAATGTTGTATTCTTCCCTCCAACAATAACTTTACTTAATTTTTAATCAAATTTGCTAAAAAGTTTTTAATAATTGGTCGTGTAGTCCTTGAATATTAATTGGTGAAATTAATATACTGATCTTCAAAACAAAAAATAATTTTTTTAAAAAAACAAATTATTGTTTAAAATATAGTCAACAAACCCATACAAATCCAATTATAAAGATCCTAATTAAATCTACCGACTACCAAATACACTCAAAATCAACTACATAATTGAATTAGAACAAGCACATAACACCCAAAACCATAATAAAATAAATCAACCAATACAACCACAAAAATAATTAAATATTTTTAAAAAATTGTTGCCGTCCAACTAATTAATTACACTAGGAGAGAATTTCACATCAATCAGAAATATCCATGAACAAATACTTACTAGTTAGTAGAGTTAAGAATTTAATTTGACGAAATTAAAATTTTAAGCTTGAATTTGACTTGTCGAATAATTAAAAAAAAAGTTGAAAATTGTTCTCTAATCATTTGTTAAATAAATAAATTTAGACAATTGAGGGAAATAACACTCTTTTCAAAATATTTATTCATAAACTAAGAAGGGAAATAAGACAATAATTTATAGAGAGACACGTTCGAAGAAGTCAGTAAATTTTGCCACAACAAGCGCGTGGAGAAATGAAGCGCCGTCAAAACGGTGCGTATTTGGCGCATCGGATACCATAGAAGAGTCCTCAATAAGGCTATCCAGCTACCTGTACCAGATCTCTCAAAGGTTGAATTTCTTTTTATTTTTATTATTTTAATTAATAATAATAAA